GTCTTTGGATTTCCAGTGGGTCACATAGGATTGTCTGTCAAGCCCTTTAGAGACTCTGGGCTAAAATACCTGGAGGGCAAGCCTTGCCTTCATTTATTCCTTTAATAATTATTTACTGAGGGTCCTCGAGGGACGAGGCCCAGAGCAGGGAAATAGAGTGGAGGGAACCAGACTTGTCAGTACATCTTCACGACGTGTTTGGCAAGCGCAGTGTGGAGGAGCCTTGATGGAAGGACACTTATCACACCTGAAAATACTTGCCTCAGTGTTGAGTGCCTGTCAGTCTCCCCAGGCAGGGATTTTGCTGTTTACCTGCCTTCTCTCCAGCAGAGCCCCAGAGTCCTCCAGGCACATAGTAAGTTTTCTATACAAGTTTTCTGTGAATGGCCCTGTCCTCACCTGGGAGGCCATGGAACGGGGTTGGAGGGGTGTGACTTGGAAGGTGAAACCTGATGAGGTCAGAATTAGCCAGATGAAGAGAAAGGCCTGTTCTCTGCCCCTCCCCCCAGTCTGCAGGTTCAACCTGTTAGTGGCTGTGACAGAAAGTGAGCTGCACATTTTTTTTTAATGGAATAAGAATGGAATGACAGCAGCAGCACACATCACATGTGGTGAGAGCAGCTGCATTAGCATGCTTTAAGGATAATTATTGTTTGGGGAAACTTGTTTCTGTTACACTTGGCTATATGTCTATTTATGGAAGCATGTGGTCAAAAGAGTTTGTAAACTGCTAAACTAGGCCTCAGTCCTCTCTTAATAGATGGTTTGCATCTGAGGTGGGGCCGGCAGGCTCAGATAGCCCTGGGTGACAACGGCTTGGCAGCCCTGGGGTTCCAGGCTGCAGCCACCCATTTCTTAAGAAGAGGGCACAAGAGAAGCCCAGGCTTCGGAAAGGAGAGTTGCATCTCCCAGCTGTCAGCGCCGGGGTCAGGCGGGGCACCGAGGGCTGCCTCAGAAGGGCCTGGCCTCCCCCGTGCCAGGTGGCGGGGTCTCCATGGAGCCCAGCAGGAGTGAGGAGAGGTGTTTGGCATCTGGGTGTGGTGGGCAGATGCCCGGCAAAGCCAGCCAGGCCCCACCCTTCTTAGGATCATAGGAGCCTCCTGGCTACTGCGTGAGGCTTGGTGTCCTGGGGAGGGGAGGTGGTGTCTGTGGGCCCCAGCGAGGTGGGGCTGGCCATCCCTCACACTTTAGGACCTGTATGGCCAGGTTTAAGCAGGCCCATGGCTGGCTGGGAGCTGTTTATTTTGGGTTAACGGCCCAGCACTCTGGCTATATTTACCTTGTGAAGCTGCGTGCAATCTGATCTGATGTGATCTCTCTGGGACTCAGCTGGGGCCCTGGGAGTCGCCTGCCAGATTCCAAGAGGCCCCTCTGGCTTTACCCTCCCTACCCTTGGGGAGATTTGCAAAGTGGGACACATTCTGAAAAAAGCAGTAGTTCTTACTCCTGTGAACAGTTTTCATCAGGATCCATGATTTGTGCCAGCCATTCCTTCCTGCAGCCCCGTGATCCTGAGCTTGGCCCCCAGTGTCGGAACAGTGCATACAGCCCACTCGCATGGTCCAGATTCTGGGAACTCTAGGTTCTAGCGAGGACAATGGGGTTTCCTCTGGAGCCTGGCAGCGGCCCCTGGCCTTCTCAAAAGGCCCAGCCTCCCCTCCAGTCCAAGACCATGGGGGAAGGCTGGCCAGTTCTGGGGTCCCCAGGCCAGGTATGTTGCAGTAGCTGATTTTTCTGGTCCTGGAGCCTGTGGGTGTGACAAGTTGTGAGGCAAGGGTGGTCTCTGTCCTGCCGAGGTGGCCATCTGCCAGCTGTGCTTTGGGGCACACATCCTCCTTGTGCCCTGGGTTTGGAGCTGGGGCAGCTTCGGGAAGGGGCAGCCCAGGCCCAGAATGGGGGTCTGAGCCCCTCACCCTCCCCGGAGGGCAGAAAACAGACGCACGGGGTCAGCTGTCTCCAGCCTGAGCTGAGGGCATCAGGGGCTGTTTGTCTTCCAAGTTCAGCCCTGCGTTTTTCTTTTTAGCTAAGATTTATTGAGCACCTGCTGTGGGCTGGCCCTTTGTTAAACACTTACATGTCAAGACCTCATTTAATCTCCTCAGCCACCATCTTCGTTGGTCCGGATGGCTAGAACAATACCACAGACTGGGTGACTTGTAAACAACAGATACTTATTTCTCACAGTTCTGGAGGCTGGAAGTGCAGGAGCGAGGTGCCAGCAGATTCCATGGCTGGTGAGGGGCTGGCTTCCTGTGTCCTCACGTGGCAGGAGGGGTGAGGGGGTCTCTTTTATAAAGGCACTAATCCTATCACGAGGGCTCCACTCCCATGACCCAGTCACTCCAAAGGCCCCACCTCCTAACACCATCACCTTGGGGGTCAGGATTTCAGATATGAATTGAGAGGGTGCACACACAGCATCTGTGATGGCAGAGTTGAGCGAAGTACCATTACCCGCTTTGTACACGGGCTTTAGGCATGAGTGGACATGAGTACAGATCCCACCACTCAGCAGCAGGATGACCCTCAGGACAGCTGACTTCACCTCCCTGAGCCTCAGTTTCCTCGTGTGTAAAAGAGGAATAATGGTGTTGCTAATAATCACTGACACTTTATTTAGTGTAATATATGCCAGGTCTTATTCTAAGGGCTTTGCAGTCATTAATCCGTAGACTCCTCATAACAGCCATCAGAAGCAGGCCCCTGGTTTAGAGATGGGGAACCTGTGGCCCAGAGAGGTCTCCAGCTTTGTAAGTGAAGGAGCTGGTTCCCTCTTAATGGCTGTATCAAGGGGGAGATACTGGGTTTAAGGGAGCAGGTTGGTTGCCCACATATGTCTCCACTGTATGGACCCCCAGCCCCCAGCTTAGGGTCTCATGCACCTAATGGGTCTGTACATTTCCAAGGAGTGAATTAGTAGCCAGTGGACCTGGGGCAGCTGAGCAGCAGGCTCTCCTGCTCATCCCTTCTCGGGTTTCGGGTTTCAGGTTCCGGGGCAGTGGGCCAAAACAGGAAGAGGAAGTGCTGGGGGTGGGGAGGTGGCAGGAGGTACGCCCTGCTGGGGGGGTGCCCCCCTTTTGCAGTGCAGTCAGGCCTAAAGACAGAGCCCAGGGGTGCAGACCTCAACCCGCTGTGCCCTGGTGGCCTGCCCTGAGGCCCCACGCCCCTCACTAGCATGTGCTAAGAAATTTCACGGTTGGCCTTAGGCCACCAGTGATCCTAAAATGGTCAAAATCCTCATGGCACTGCCCCAGATTTATATGAGCTTGAAGCATTTTGTAAACTGGGCTGAAAAGTTCATACAGTCATCAATTGTAGGAGTTCTAACACAGAAGTCTGTGAATCCTGTTGAAATTGTCTGAAAAGTCCTATGACTGTACACACCAGGGTGTCTTAAGGAGTACCTGATATTTTCACCAGACTTTCAAGGTGTCAGACCCCAGATCAGCTCTAGACGGTAACGTTAATTGTGCCATGTCCCCTCCTTTTTCAGAGACAGAGGGGATGGACTTGACCATGGTCACCCAAAGAAACCCGGTTCTGCAGGAGGATAGAAGCCCAGAGGGCTTTGTAGACAGTAGGATTGAGGATGAGGTTTCTAAATGGAATCATAATAATGATAAAGCTCACTTTTTTGAGCATTTACTCTGTGCCAGGGACTAAGTATTTGACATGGGATTAACTCAGTTCTCACGACAACCCTCTCAGTTATGTACCATTATTTCCATTTTACAGATGAGGAAACTGAGACCCAGAAAGTTGAAGGAATTTGCCAGTCACAGCCTAATAAAGGGCAGAGCAGTCAGGGCTCAAAGCAGACAGCCTTACTCCAGAGCCCGTGCCCCACACTGCCTCTCTGGGCCACAGGAAGGCTGCCAAGGTACAAGAAATTAAAGCAAATAGGGCCAGGCATTACAGCAAGACAGTTGGGAAGGAAGGAGCCGCCCCCATCCCCAAAAGCGGACAGGTGTGAGACTAGAGGGGACGTTTCAGCATTAGACTTCCCCCCTCTGAGCCTGGCCCATACATAGCGAACCCTTTGTGAAGGGTCACTACTCTTAATGGTATTGCCACTGGCCCTCGCTGCCCCAGTCCTTCTGGCCCCAGCAGGCAGACCCTGGCAGTGTGCCCACCGCCCGCTTCTGGTGGCCCAGATCTGATAAGCTGGCTTCTTTACATGGGGGTGATTTGCAAGGCCCAGGTGAGAAGCAGCGGGCAGCAGGTCCCTGCTGACCCCAGATCTATGGGTCTCCAGGAACTGGGGAGCAGCTTGTGCGTCAGCTCTGGGGCCCTGAGCCCAGAGCTGGGGCTGGGGGAGGGGATGGCCCCAGGGCTTGCCCTGTAGCACCGGGCTTCTTCTGGGAAGCCCCTCTTGGTTCCTTCTCAGTTGGTGCACTGTGTTCTCAGAAAGGGCCTGTGCATGACCTGGGAGGGCCTTCATCCCCTTCACCCCATCCCTCTCCTTGTCCCCCGATCAGGGCATGAAGAAGCCTCTGCTTGGGAATAGGAGTGTGGTACCAACAGAGAGGGTACCTTTTTTTTAATGTAAACTTTTTTTTTTATCATAGTGAAATATATATAAAACGTACCATTTTAACCATCTGTGGTGGTTACCATTTGGGAAGCATTGGCCATGCACCTGGAGCTCTCATTTAATTGTTAAAATAATCCTATAAACTAATATGATACCTTTATTTTACAAATAAGAAAATTGGGGCTCAGGGAGGTTCAGTGACTTTCCCAAGGAAACACAGCTTGTGAGTAGCAAAACTAGGATGCAAATCCAATCAGCCTGGGCTCCAAGCCTGCTTTATTCACCAATACTTTCTGCCACTTCTCAAGCCAAAGTGGGGGGTCTTTTATCCCCATTATTCAGATATGGAAACTGAGGCTCAGAGAGGCCAAGTGATTTACCCAGGGTCCCAGAGCTTGATGGGAGGAGAGCCTCAGTGAGCTGTGACTGTCCCGTCACTCAGCCCCTCCTCTCCCCTTCCCCCCAGGTGGCGATGGTGGAGGTGCAGCTGGACGCTGAGCATGACTACCCGCCTGGGCTGCTCATCGCCTTCAGTGCCTGTACCACAGTGCTGGTGGCCGTGCACCTGTTTGCGCTCATGATCAGCACCTGCATCCTGCCCAACATCGAGGCGGTGAGCAACGTGCACAACCTCAACTCAGTCAAGGAGTCGCCCCACGAGCGCATGCACCGCCACATCGAGCTGGCCTGGGCCTTCTCCACCGTCATTGGCACACTTCTCTTCCTGGCCGAGGTGGTGCTGCTCTGCTGGGTCAAATTCTTGCCCCTCAAAAAGCAGCCAGGCCAGCCAAGGCCCACCAGCAAGCCCTCCGCCAGCGGCGCAGCCGCCAATGACAGCAGCGACAGCAGTGACAGCAGTGGCGGCATCACCCCGGGCCAGGCTGCCGCCATCGCCTCCACCACCATCATGGTCCCCTTTGGCCTCATCTTTATCGTCTTTGCTGTCCACTTCTACCGCTCACTGGTAAGCCATAAGACAGACCGACAGTTCCAGGAGCTCAACGAGCTGGCCGAGTTTGCTCGCCTGCAGGACCAGCTGGACCACAGAGGGGACCACTCCATGACCCCTGGCAGCCACTATGCCTAAGCCCCCCCTCTGGGGTGGGCACTTCAGAGCTTTGGTCTTAACGCCCTTCCCCACGACCTTGTCCTGCCCCAGCCCAAGGACAGCCTGCGCAGGGGGCCAGGCTCTCATCAGGGGGCAGAGCGTGGAGGGAAGAGACTTTTTTAAAGAGAAATGACTGCACTTTGAAACTTTCCTCTAAGAGAATAAGCACTTCCTGATCTTCCAGCTCCAGGTTCACCTCCTGTTTGGAGGCCACTGGTGGGAGCCAGAGCGGGGACAACAGTCCCTTTGTCCCTCCTCCTCCCCCATGCCAGTGCCACCTGGATGCCTCCTGTCCTTTTCGTCTTGACCCCCCGCCCCTGTTCAGGGTCAACTGTGTGTGTGTGCGTGTGTGAACACAGAAATATACTCATAAGGGACACCTCCTCCTGTGTCTGTATTTGTTAGGTCTGGACCGCCTGGTGTTACTTCTCCCAGTGCCCCAGTCAGGTGAGCCCCTGAGCAAAAAAAAATTTTACAGCATTTTCTGAGATTTCAAACGTACCCAAAAAGTTGCATGAACAGTAACTGAAATAGATACACAGTCAGTTCTCCTTATTTGCAGTGGTTATGTTCCATGAAGTCACTGTGAACAATGAATTACTGAACCATCGCTCCTAAGAGGAATATGGAGTTAGCTTGTTATGGCCTCTGGTCCCAACATTTTTGTCAGCCAATCAGTATGTAGACTTGTTTTATATGTGTTTCTGTTTAATGACCCCTTAATATATGTTGATTCGTTAACGCTGGACTCATGGCTAACAGCCCTATCACTCACGCTTACCTGAAGCTTACGTAACGTATGTTTTTCCCATAAGGCACATCACGGCCTTCCTGTGCTTCGGCACTGCCCTTGGGGACCATTTTAAAGAGTGAAATCAACAAAAAGCACAGAAATGTGGGAAAGCGTAGCACTATTTGTGAAAAGGATGCTTATTTACAGCGTGAGCTGAAACAAGAAGGCAGGGGGTCACCTTGTTTGACCACAGCAAGTAGGCAAATTCACAAATACTGAAACCGTGAATGAGGAGGATGCTAGTATGTTCCCCCCCTCCCGAGGCATATGCACCAGTTGCAGATTTCTTCCTAAGATATTCCTCTATGTAACCACATGTCAATGATTGGATTCAGGAAATTTAACATTTATGTGATACAGTCATCTAATATGCTTATTTTCAGTTTCCCTCTTGTCCCAGTCATGTCCTTTCTGACAGTGGTTTTTCCATCCAGGAGCATGCGTTGTATTGAGTTGTCATGTCTTTTTAGTCATCTTTAATTTGAAACAGCCCATCTTTGTTTTTTGTAAACATCAACATTTTTGAGGAGTCCAAACCAGTGGTTTTGTAGAATGCCACCTATGTCTAGTTTCCCTGAAGCTTTCTCATTATTTTGATCACGTTGTGCCTTTTGGCAGGAATTTTGATCTCCATTTTGCAGGTGACAAAAATCAATGACCAAAATATGTAGGTAACTACTAGGCAAAATTTGAGCCTGGAAGTCTGGCCCAGAGCCCCGGCACTCACTAATCTTACATAGGCTGATTCTGGCTTTGCTTAAGAAATTGAGAGATCCAACAGCAGCATTGCCAGGCCCACCTTCTTAAGAAGCAACAGCTGAGCTGCAACTACCTCTTCCCCAGGAGATGTGTTTGCCTCAGTCCCCACCACTCCCTCTTGTCTCACACCAGTCCAGCTTCATATGTTAACTTGCCTAGCCCCTGTGGGTCTTTGATTTTGAGAGCTTTGTTCTGTCCCACAAGCCTGATACAGAAAGTGGTTTTATAAAAATAAAGTGCTCTGGCTGAAGTAAAAGTTGGGGGAAAGTGTGGCCTTAAGCTCTTGTCCTTCTGTGCCTGCTTGGACATGGCCAGCAGCAGCTTCCTGGGCTGAGTGAGGAAGGGGGCCCTCCTTTACCATATAACGCATCTTGCCTCCATCCCACATCTCATGCACTGGGAGCCACACTCCCCTGTACCCGGATGGCCTTCTGACTGGGTGGGACTGAGTAGGATGGGCAGGTCCCCCAGTGTGAACATCCCTACTGCTCCCCAGAGACCTGGGCTTCTCCATGCACCCACCTCCCTGCTTCTGCAGAGACCTGGGATCCACTTGGAATGATTTCTGGGCTGTGCCTCTAGTCTTTGGGTTTCTTCCCTAAACTTGCCTGAGCTAAGAATCATCAGATTGGCTTGTAAAATGCAGATTTCCAAACCCTTGTGCGGATTCCAATTCAAGCTGGTTTGGGTGTGTCTCTGGAATCTCTTTTTAACAAGCACTCCAGGTTCTCAAATGCAGGCAACTAGGGAAACAGTTAAGAACACAGTCTGGTGGGGAGGGGATTGAAAAAAAACCAATCTCTTTAATTTCAGTTTTATGCTTTGAATAGATAATACATTTACAAATTCCAAATACAACAGTGAAAAATTGCTGTTTCTCCCCTGTTCCCAGGTTCCCAGTTGTTCCTGGAGATAACCATTGTTGCTGGTTTATTTTGTTCCCATCTAGACAGATTTATACATAAACAAGCACACACCCTACATTTTTCTGAAAAAAAAAAAATGGTAGTCTTCTATATGCATTGCCACTGTTCCGCACCTTAAGAGTAGACAGACCTAAGTTTAAGTACACTTTCTAGTTTGGTAACTTGTGAGTCTCCCTGAACCTCAGTTTCCTCCTCTAAAATGGCACCAATAACAGGAGGACATCTTGTAGGCTGTTGAGGGGTCATGGGAAAACACATGTGTAAAGCTGTCAGCACAGGGCCTGGCTCCGTAGCTGGTTCGTTCTGCATCCTGAGGCAGCCAGGCTCAGCTTCCTGGCTTCAGAGGTACAGACTGAGAGCCATGCTGTGGGTCAGGCCACCCACTTAGGATTTAGATGGCAGAGAGAACCTCAGTAGTGTCAGTGAACGTTTACTGAGCCTGTCACTACATGTTGGGCACTTGCTGAGGGTTTTAAGAACATAGCATTTCAGGGTGATTTCATGGTATTAAACTATTAAAGCTGGGCTGAATAATTCTTTACATTATAACATGTTTAGCAGCATCCCCAACCTCTACCTGTTGGGTGCCAGTAGCATTCTTCCCTGCCAGTTGTGACAACTAAAAATGACTCCAGACTTTGTCAGAATGACCCCAGGGAAGAAAGGGGGACAAAATCACCCTCAGATTAGAACCCCACCTTATTTCTTCCTTCCAGTAACCACAACAACTCCAGGTGGTAAGTCCCTGTTATTGTCCCATATTAGAGGGAAGGAAATCTGGAGAATAGAGAGGTTGGGTGACATACTCAAGAACACAGCTAATAAATCACACAGGCAGTCCGACTGCAGAGCTGCTGTTCCTACCTATTACGTAAGAGTCCCTCTTATCTTGCAGGAATGTTGTCTAGATTAGAATTATGCAAAGCCCGTCCCAGAAATCTGCTTCACAACTAACCTCAGTACATGTTTGTTATTAGATCTGCTAGCAAATCTTCAAAACACACCCTGTGAGATCTCTGAAGTCCCATTTTACAGATGGGCAACTAAGATTTCTTGCTTAGGGTCACAGAGTCAATAAGTCAGAGGTTCTCAGCCCCAGCTGCATATTAGAATCAGCTGGGGACTTTCTGAAGGCCCAGGCCTCACCCCAGACAGATGAGATTCTCCGGGCTTGGGATCTGGGCATTCCCAGCTTTTAAAGCTCCCACGGGATTTCAAGGTTGAGCGCCTCTGTGTTAGGCTGAGAAGCCAGGTCAAGTTTTAATACCAAATCTTAGTGAACCAGTGTAACCAGATGCAGGCTCTGTCTCCTTGGAATATCTAAGAGATCTGAGACCTGCAGGCACCTCCCCTTTCTGCCTCAAGGTAAGTCCATGCAGCCCATTGGGATGTTTTTCCTCTTCTCTACCTGAAATCCTTCCTGAGGCTCCTCCGCACTCCTAGCCCCACATACCACAGGCCCCCGACTCACACCACCAGGTTCTCCTTTATTCTCACGTGCTCAGGGATGGTCCAAGAGTAAAGGCTGAAATAGGAGGGTCCCGAGGCCAGCTGGGGAGAGAAGCACTGGCCTCCTACTGGTAAGGAATGATCTAGTGCTGGGAGATGTGAGGTCCCCGCTGAGAGTGCCAAGGGTGTATCCAAGTTGCATTTGCTTCTCCAGCAGGAGCTGCACCCGTCCGAGCAGTTGGGTGACTCCCGTCTGAATTTCTCCTCTGAAGTGCTGATGTTCACTCTGAAGGGACAAGGGGTGGCGGGGGCTGTAGCAACGCTCTCTGCTGGAACCCCACCTGCACCCACACCGGGAGGTGCCAGTCCCTGACAAGGCCCTGCTGCACAGATAGCAAGTGAAGGCCCAGGGCAAACCATGTTACTTGAGAGCACGCAGGGCAAGCAGGCCACCTGACGCTAATCCAGGGTTCGTGCCCAGGGTGCACGTGGGAGAATTTGGACAGGATTGGAATGACCTGGTCTTCAGGGAAGAGTCTGGAAGGGGAGGAATCAAAAAGGACCAGCAGGACTGCAGGAGGCAAGAAACCCACCCTTTCTGGTCCTGCCCCTGAGCCCTTTGGCCAGAGGAGACCCCAGGAGCTGCCTGGACCACATTGGAGGGTGGCAGGCATGCCTCCCCCTCACCTGGCATCAATCTCCTTCCTTGATCTTCTTAAACATGGCCAAGGCTTCCTCCAGCACGCCATCAGGGTCTAGAATTTTGACCTAGAGGTGAAGCAGCAGGGGTTGGTTTGAGGCGCATGGAAGGCCCAGGCTGCCAGCCTTTGGGGCACTGCCTGCATTGTGGGGGGATTGCCAGCCTCCCTGTGGATGCCCTAACTGAAAACAAAACCTTGTCTGTTTCCTGGCTGGGCCAGGCCAGGCTGGGTGTGGCTGGAGGGGGTTGCTGTTTTCTGTCTCTCTCTGGGTTGGGTGTGGCCCCCGGATCCGGGTGAGAGCTGCGTACCTCAGGAATGGGGAACTGAGTGGGCTCGGGGGCCACATCGCGGCCAAAGTCAATCATTGTGCCACACTTGGCCACGTCGTCGACCCAGAAGCCTTCAAACAGCTGACCGTGGTCCAGGTGGAAGAAACGCCCCGACCCATTCTTCATGCCTCTCTTCCAGGAGCCTCGTAGCGGTTCCTCTTCTCTGGGGGAAAGGACAGGGAGTCGTAGGTGCTAACCCACCAAACCAGGCCAGACTACACACACCCAGGCTGGACCCTCTGCCACTCCCAGGCTACACAGCTCGCCCACCAGAAAGCCATGGGGAAAGCCAGGTTGACTAGAGTGTGCTGGTCTGGGTGGGTGGAGTTAGGTCTGGGGTGTCAGCCCTGGTTCACAGCTCACCTCCACTACCTTCCCGAACTTGGATGAGCAATGTAGTTTCCCAGCTGTACAAAATATAGCCAATAATCCTGAGAGGGGATGTTTCTCTGTGCCTGCTTCCATGCTATGTTTCTGACCTCATGTCTCACAAAAACAGTTCAATGAAGGATGATGGACTCTGTTTTACAGATGGAAGTTGAAAAGCTCAAGGAATCTGATTGCCTTGCTCAAGGTCACAGAATTAGGAAGCAGCAGAGGCAGGTTAGCCAAATCCTGTTCATCCCAGGTGCCCGTGTTCTTAATCAGGAATCAATTCTGGGGGAGAAGATATAGCTCAAGCAGTAGAGTGTGTGCTTAGCATGCACAAGGTCCTGGGTTCAATCCCCAGTGACTCCTCTAAAAATAAATAAACCTAATTACCTCCTCCCACCAATAAAATAAAATAAAATAAAAAATCTTAAAAAGGATCAATTCTGCTTCTCACTGGATAGTGGTGGTGATGGTGTAAAAATAAAAATAATAATAAAGCTAACATTTCTCAGCTCAACTTCCTAGCTGTGTAACCTTGAGCAAGTCACTTACCCATTTTGCCTCATTTTCTCGTTTGTAAAATGGGGAGAAGAGTAGCACCTCCCTCATAAAGTGATTGTGAAGATTAAATGAGTCCCTACAGGACATTAGAAGAGGACTGGACTTAGAAGAGACAGGACTTAGAAGAGTACTGGGTAAAATTTAGATCAGAGGTCAGCAAACTCTTCTTGCTGGAGGAGCACAGAGTATTTTCAGCATTGCAGGCCACAAGGTCTCTGCGGAGTTGGTTAACTCTGTCATTGCAGCACTAAAGCAGCTGAAGACAATACATAAGTGAATGAGCACATCTGTGTGCCAATAAAACTTTATTTACAAAAACATGTGTTGGGCTGGATTTGGCCCAAGAACCCTAGTTTGCTGACCGCTGCTCATACAAGTATGTAGTGGTATCATTGAGCACTTACTATTATGGGTCATGCTAAGTACTGTACAAATAGAAACCTCATTTCACCTTCACAATAGCCTTCATTACGTTTTATTTTTACCTTTATTTTACAGATAAGAAAACCGAGGCATAGAGAGTTTAAGGAAATTAATTGCCCAAGGTCCCACAGCTAGTAAAGCTTGAGCCAGAATGTGAACCCAGGCAGGCTGGCTCCGGAGTCCAAGCCATTGGGAATGGTGCACTCAAAGCCCCTTTACCGTGTGGGCTCACAGCGGGCACTCACTGACCTTAGGCTACCACAAGGAGATGCTCACAGAAATCAGACATGGAGCTGGGCATGCGGGGTACTGAGAGTGACAGATGGACAGCTGGCCGAACTGGGCCCCACCCACCCCCCAGCTGCCCAACGCCTCAGTTTAGTTGAATCTCATTGGAAGTTGGAATCTTGAGTTTTTCAGGAGACGGGGCTCTGGTTTGCGTCCTCACCAGGAGCGCCTGCTATGTGGCAGGCACTAGGGAAACTGGGGGGGACAAAACAGACATGCTCCTGGTCCTTATGTAGCTCACAGTGTGGAGGGACAATGATACTGGCTTTATAGACAGCCTACTATGTGCCAGGACCTGTTCTAAGACTCCCTCATCTAATCCTCACCAGAGCCCTATGAAGTGGGTTCTGCCATTATTCCCATCTTACAGGTGAGGAAACTGAGGCACAGAGAAGCAAGTAACTTGCTCAAGATTATACACCGAGTACTAAGAAGGAAAGGAAGCAGGTGCTGAGAATATGAGGAGAATGTGCTTTAGGTGGAGTGGACAGGGAAGCCCTCTCTGAGGAGACAATGCAACGGTCTAGGGGAATCTTCTTTCTATTCCAGGAAGAGGGAGCCAGTGCAAGAGTCCTGAGGCAGAAAGTGTGGGAGGAACTGAAAAAAAGTTAGTACAGCCAAAACCAAAGGAGTCCACGGGGAGAGGGGAGGCAAAGGGGAGGCAAAGCCGAGAGGTGAGCAAGGCCAGATCATGCTGGGCCCCACAGAGCACAGTCAGGGCTCTGAACTCAGTCCGAGGGCAGTAGGGAGCTATGGAGAGGTTGAAAGCAGGGCAGCGACAAGTTCCAGTTTGTGAAGAGCTCGCTCTGGTTGCTATGTAGAGAATGGATTAGGTCCTGACACCAACGCAGGCTTCTCAGTACCCTTCCCTCTGCCTGGGAATGTTCTTCCATAGCCGGTGCATATCCGGCTCCTTTTAATTCTGGTCTCCATTCAAACCTCACCTCTTCAGGGAGGCATTCTCTGACCCTAACTCAATCTAAATAGCTCCTGACCCCAACTCCTTTGTCCTTCTCCAATACATCTTCCTGTTTTCAAGGAGAATTCCTTAGCACTGTGGCCCTCACAACAGGCTGGGGAACCTTGAGCAAATGACTTAACCTCTCTGTGCCTCAGTTCCTTTGCAAAGTGCAGATTATAAGAATACCTGTTTTAGAGGATTGTAGTGTGGGTTAAAGGAGCTCAGTGCTGAGCGGTGATTATTATGACTGTAAGACAATGTCTTAATTGTTTATATTATTGTCAGGTTCCCCTCTTACAGTGTAAACTCCCTGAGGGCAGGGGCCTGGACCCGTCATTCACCTTAACCCCCTCGGGAGCAGGGCTCTGCGGGGGCGTGGCCAGGCGTGGCCCAGAGTGCCACCCGAGGGCGCGGCCTGGTGGGCGTGGCCAACAGGCCATTGGGGCGGGGCTGGGAACTCACTCAGGCGTAACATGCCCTCTCCATCCGGCTTGTCGTTACACCACTGGCCCTCGTAGATGTCGCCGTTGCTGTAGTACATGCGGCCCCACCCGCTGCGCTGGTTGCCACACCAGTCACCCTCGTAATACTCCTTGGGTCCGAAAAACTGGATCCCATAGCCCTGAAAGCACGAAGGTGTCCCTTTTCACGGCGTCCCACAGCACTAGGAATCCCCACCATGCTCCCTGGCACCCAAGCCACACACCTGGGCTTCTTCCCTGTTTCCTCCCTCAGCCCCAAATCCAAGCTGAATGTACTGAAAAGTCTCCCAGTCTTCAGCAGCCCACCATCATTTCTCCCCTCCCCTCCCTCTGGTCTTCCTCCTCCACTCTCCAGTTCTCCCCCGACCTCAGGCATCCGCCTTACAGCGGCCAGGAAGATCTTTACCTCGCCTGTCTGCTCACATTTGCCCGGTCTCCCCAATTCTGCTCTGACCCTATTAAAAGTCCGCGATGCCTCTGCCAATCAGATCAAAGCTAGACTTTTCCCTCAGAAAAGTGAACATAAGCACACATTATGCAACCACAGAGAATCACGGGCTCCCCGCAGATCACACTTAAGGAGATTGGGCTCAGCAGCCTAGGTCTGCTTGTCAAAATCCTGATTTTCCGTGTAACCTTCCAGGCCCCACCTACCCTTACCCTGACCGCCCCCCCCCGCCCCCAACTCTTGTGGACAGACACACCTTGCTGTTGAATATCTGCTTCTTTTCGTTACTTCTGCCTCATGGGTTACTTCCTCTTCTTTTTTTCCTCCCTAACTCCTTGCATCTTTTGATGTCACTTTCTACAGGAAGCCTGCCGCAAATTCTCAATGAGCTGCCTCTCTCAACTCCCTTGTGAAAACCTCTATCCTAGCACCATATTGTCTGTAAATTATTTATCTGGGGATCTCTGTCCCCACTGGCAGATAAACATTTTGAGAACAGAAATCATGAAACCCTGGGCTCTATCACTTCCGGGCGGTGTGACCCCAGGCAAGGCACTTCACCTACTCCACCTTTCTGAGCTTGTTTCCTTATCAGTAAAATGCGAAGAATAATGATGATGATGATGATGGTGGTAATGATGTCGATGTGAGAGTTTTACAATACCAAGGTACCAACAGCAGCTGTTCAACAGCAATACTGTATTAGTATCTGTCTCCATGATGTATGGTGAGGATTCAGGTTTTTAGGGGTTGGGGACGTGCCTCCAGCTGGCTTCCACCCTTCAGGACCTTCCTCTGTTGGCCAAGGGTGTGGCCTCTGCTTTCTTTCTTGCTCCCACTTTTCCTCCCTGCCCACCCCCCACCTCTTATCCAGTCCCAACAGAAAGGAATGCCCAGGGAAAAGAAAGCCAGGAAATGAGTGGGGAGAACAGGGAGGAGACTGCCCCCTCACAGTCTGGCTGGCTTCTTGTAGCCACAGGGTTTCATGGGCTCCTCCCTGGGCCCTCTCCTCTTGCTTCCTGTTTCCTGGGTTTTGTTCTGAGAAGCCTTGACGATTCCCCCACCTCTTCCTTCTACCCACACAGCAACCCTGTTCTCCTCCCCTCTGGGGCCCCTTTCCTTTTCTCCCAGGCCTCTCTGACTGCTACACACACACACACACACACACACACACACACACACACACACACACACACTACACGCACGCACACACACACACACACACACACACACACACACACACACAGTCTGCTTTCAGACTGGCCCATGTCCCAGGGCATGACGGGAACCACAGCACTCACAGATTTCTTATCGCCTTTCCACCAGCCTGAGTAGACCCTCCTGTACTTTCCGGTCTCTTGGTCAGGAAGGCTGAGGGTGCCATAGCCATCTCGCTTCCCGAACTTCCAGTCCCCCTCATAGATGGCTCCTGTCTTCTTCCAGACCTGTGTTCCTTTCCCTAGGGACATAAAGATGGGCCAACACTGCCGGCATGGCCTTCATGGGGCTAGAGGATTAGGGAGGCAGGCACTGCATCGGCCTGGGCCTCAGGGGCCCCTAGACTGGACAAATCTCCAGGACTGGGGTCTGTGGCTGGTGTCTAGACCCACAGTACCCAGGAAAACCCCAAGAAAGTTCCATTTCTACAGCCCTCAAGCCAAACTGATATAGCAAACCCCAGGTAGAAATCTGCCCCTTCCGTGTTTCAGCTTCATCTTTTAATAACAATGAATGGATACACCAAAGAGTCAGGATTTCTAGAAAACGTTCTGTATATTTAGTTCTTTAGTTCTCCTGAGCACATATGGGGACCCATCTCCTACTACTCCAGCCCCTTCTGTGTCCTTCATTCCCATTTCCATTCCGCCCTCCAACCACCTGCTGTTCCTGGAACCCACCAGATACACTTCCGCCTCAGGGCTTTTGTACCCTGGTTCTCCTTTGGCCTGGAACACTCTTCCTCAAATATTTGCTCAGTCCCTACCTCCTGCAAAACTTTGCTGAAGTCTCATTTTCTCAATGAGGCCTACCCTGACCATCCCATTTAAAATTATAAGCTTCAGCCATTGCAATCTCAGTTTCTTATACAAACATCTTAAATGCAATAATAATTTTAAAATTAAATTATAAGCTTCTTTTACTCCCTTACCCTGCTCTGTTTCTTTCCATGTCACTTGTCAACTCTTAACATAATAGATAATTCACTTATTTATCACTTAGTGTCTATTGTCTGTCTCTTCCAGGAGAATGTACACTCCCAAGGGCACAGACTTGTCTGTTTTGTTCACTGCTCTACTTCCAGCATGGAAGAACAGTGCCTGGCATGTTGTAAGTGACCAGTATTTGTTAAACAAAGAGATAAATATAGCATTTGTGGAGTACCTATACACGCCAATTCATGTCCTAGTCCTTGGTAGCTCAGGAACAAATCCAGTATTGTCCCTGTGAGCTTTTTGATCTAGTGCAAGTAGCCTAACTCTCTGGGCCACAGGCTCCTCATCTGTAAAATGCGGATGAGAATATCTTACGGGGTTGATCTGATCACTAAATTCGTTAATATAAGTGGAACACTTTGGACAATGCCTGCAAACAGAAAAGATGAAATCAATGACTTTCACCCTGGAGGTCTGGAGGTAGGGTCCAGTCACACTGTAGGGAATGAGGGGGTATTTACACCTGTCCTTCTTCTAGTTTATTTCCTTTGGGGACTCAGGCCTCCTTCACTCTCAGTCCTTGAGGTCTGCATGGGGCTGACTCCTCTTCCTGGCACGCCTAGCCAATCAGTGTTAGTCTCCCCATCCAGGACACTGTGATTGGCTCAGCAAAGGCCATGTGACCCCAGTTGATCCAATGAGGCTGCCTGCCTTCCAGATGCAGGCAGAACTTACCAAGGCCTATGAAGCCTTAGATAACTGGCCCTCCTGACCTGCCCTTCTCTCTCCCCTCACTCTCTGTGTTCCAGCCACACTGGCCTCCAGTCTGTTCCTTGAACCAGATGTGATACCCCAAACCATCCCTCCATTTCTGAGTCCACTGTCTAGAAGATGCTCTCCCCCCTGCCAAGCTAATCATTTCATCCTCTGGGCCTGTCTCAAACATCACCTCTCTGACTGTCTATGTACTCCCGGCCCCTTTCATGGCTTCTCTCTGGTTCCCCCGTCCATCCTGATGATACCACGGTCAGCTGAGTGGCCTTGAGTAAGTCACTTCCTCTCTCTGAGCCCGAGTTTCCTCTTCTGTAAATGGGATAGTACCTATTGTGCAGGTTCTCTGTGAGACAGGAAGCACCCTGGGGGGTGAGATTATTCTAGATGCCTAGTAGAGGACCTGGCCTAGACTAGGAGCACAATGAGTGTTAGTGGGGTGAGTGGTCTGGGAACCACTGGAGCCACCCCATCCTTGCCCTGCATGACTACTCTCTTGACTGCTTCCAATGCTTATACCCCAGCAACCCAATTCGGCTAGGCCAAAGGTGAGTCAAGAGGAGGGAGAGCGTTGGGCCTGGACTCTGACAGATCTGTTTTCTGCAGCCCCAGCCCCTCTGTGTTTCCAGGGTTTGCGGGGAGGCAGCACTCACACAGGAGGACTCAGAGGGCCACACCAGCCTACAAGGTCCTATCGCAGGTGGGGCAGCTGAGTCCAGAGAATGGGACATGACTTACCCAAAGTCACACAGCTACTCAGTGGTAGAGCCAGGCTCAGAACCTCAGAGCCCTGACTCCTAGTCCAGGGCTCTGTCCACACCCATACTGCCCACAAGGACTGAAACATGCAGGCATATCCCTGCCATGGTCAGCCCTCAGAGGACATTCCAGAGGTTCCCATTCTGCACAGACCCCTGGCTACATACTTGATAGATCTCATCTCTTCTCTTATCTTAACAGATAGGTTTTATTTCCATTTTACAGATGGGGAAACTGAGGCTCAGAGTGGTATAGTAAATCTCTTGAGGTCATAGTTGGCAGAGCTGAGATTCTGACCCAGGTTCATAGACTCCAATCACTTAATGTGGGAAGGCAGGAGAGAAGAGTGGTTAAGGGCATAGAACCTGGAACGGCAAGACCAGACCGAAAAGCCCTACCACTTTTTCTGAATAATTTTTTTCGTCTTCAGAGCTTAGTTTGTATCACAGGGACCCCGTACTCCCTGCTAGTTAGACTGGGAGCCCAGCCCAGTTGGGGGCAGGGAGGTCCTCTGCTGGTTTGCAGGGCTGAGTTTGAAGACCAGAATCCCAGTTGCAAGCTAGTTTCCAGAGGCTACCTTTTCCTTCTCCCAGCCAGCCCCATGCTCAGCCCAGGTCTCAGAGGGTAGAGAATGAACTGTGCCTGAGAACCCCGGCTGAGGCTGCAGCTGTCTAAAGACCACTTTGTCCCCTGCGGGTCCCCAAGACCCCTGCTCAGCTGAAGCCAGGGCTGAGTTTGGTTCCAGAGCCACAGCTTGTGGAGGCCCCTGGCTGGTCCAGGTCAGCATTCACCCCTTGGGGACACTTCTCATGTCCCCAGTGAGTTATGCAAGCTGCTTCCTTGGCCCTGGTTGGTCACCATGGTCCAGACCCCGTACTCACCACCTGAGCCCGAGGGTCCCCCACTCACCGTGTTTCTTGTTGTCCTTCCACTCACCCACGTAGTGGTCACCATTGACAGCGTACACCTGGTGCCTCAGTCCATTCTTCTGGGCTTTTCGGTCCCACTCCTTCCACAAGGGCCCTGACTTTTGTAGGCACTTGGAGATAGGCATGTTGGCTGCTTCTGTGGGGCCAGAGGGTGCTGCAAAGTGTTAGGGACATCAGGGGCTCAGTTCGCCCTGCGTAATGCCCGGATTTTGGGGTTTCTTGGGGAGACACTTGTCTGAGCGCAAGTAGTGTGAGTCATGTGTGTTCTGAGTCCCCGGGGCAGATGAGCAGCCCTTGTGGGGGATTCTTCTGTGCTGGACTAACGCTAGGCTGTCTCTTCCCTTGCCTCTCAGGGAGATCCCTGGGGCGGGGGATCTGATGGCACAATTGCTTGGGATGGGAACCCAGGGAGACCAGTAGAGGAGGGGGGTTTGTGATGGCATCAGAAAGAAGCTGCTCCAGGCGAGAGGGTGAAAGTCACATATTTAATAACCAGTATGACCAATCAGAGTGGATGCTGGCTCTAAAGCTAGATCCTGGCCGGGAGCCCCCAGCGGTGAGCACTGGGACGCGCTCCAGGGGAGTGGCAGGCTAGCCAGGCCATTCTGTCTGGGCTGGCAGACGGCTGCTGTGGCACAGCCTACAGGGACACCCCACCACCACCACTGGTCCAGCACCCTGCACTTTAGCCTCCTGGGCCCTGTTTCCTCTGCCTGGTGGATAGGATGGTGGAAAAGCCAGGGGCTGGCTTTGCAGGGGTTTGTGAGCTGTAGGAGAGCCCATCAACTAAAAATACTGTCTCTGGAATGACCACCTGTCCCGGCTTGTCTGGAACTGAGGGTTTTCCTAGGACCTTGGACTTTCAGTGCTAAAACTGGGACAGTCCCAGGCACACCAGGAAGGCTGATCAGCCTTCTACCCCTGAGCTCTGACCTCTGACCTCTGCCTGGGCACTCTCCCTGTCTGCCTCATCACCTGATTAGGTTTTATTCATCAGACCAGGGCTCTCCTCCCTGCCCTGCCTGGTGGGGTTGCGGAGAGACTGTGCGTGGTCTAAGGTTTCTCCCCAGTCTGGGAGCACACCATGGGCTCTTGATGTCCCCAGGATCTCCAGTGCAGACGTCCATGTCCATTTGTCTGTCTCCAGGGGACTTGTGCAAAGTGATAAAGATGGTCTCCAAATCATGGGGATCCCTGTTTCCCCTCAGAAAATACCACCTATCCTGCTCCATGGGTTTGGGAAGTACGCTCGCACGCGACGCGCGCACTCCAGCAGTGCTAGCAGCCAAGGGTGGGGCAGTCAGAGCATGGGGCATGAGGGGATGGGGGAGGGGGACTAGAGTGAACAATTTAACCATCAGCAGGCAGAGGTGTTGACCAATCAGCATGACCACAGGGCTGAGCAGATTTCAGGAGATCATGGTGTCCCAGGCATCCACCCACTCAGGGCCAGCGTCACAGGTGTGCAACCTGAGCAGTTGCACAGGGCCCAGTCCTTAGCAGGGCAAGTGCTTGGTTTCGGCTCTGCTGTCACTGTTTCGAAATGCTTTATACTTTATGAGCTAGGACCTTGCATTTTCATTTTGCACTGGGCCCTACCCATCAAGGAGTTCCCTGGGTTGGGCCACAGCAGGGGCCTGCAGGAGTCTGACCAGGCTGGCCAACCACACTGGCTAGTACATATTTTGACAATCATGCCTAGGAACTGGGAAGGAAAGTTACTCCAAGGAAAGAAAACAGCCAAGGCAAAAACTGGCCAGAGGGAAACAGTCTCAGATCCTAAATTTAATGTTTTTCTTTTTTTCTCCCATTTGCATGTACCACGTGTACTATGATTAACCTATATATTGAAATTATTTCACTTAAAAAAGAGCAATACATTTACCCAAGAAAGAGATGTTACATATTATTACTTAAGTCTTAGCTAGATACTGGGGCTTACAGTTGAAATTAGCGAAGTTCAGAAAGGTGTTAAAGCCATATTCGCCTCAAACTGACACTTTCTCCTTGGCTTACTCACAATTGTACGAGAACTCAGACTGTAGTAACTTTCTTACGATGTCATTAGGTGTTAATTCTTCATCAATGTAATATAAACTCATCCTCTGTTCCACACTTTAGGAAACGTAAGATTCTACCCAAGAGGAGGTTGCGGTCTTAACACAGGAGCTACTACTGATAGTAAAAGAAAGCCTTGCAACGAGGCGCGCGGACTCTGCCCGGGTTGTTTTGACATTGAATAACAATAATTACCATTCCGGAAGGTGGAGGGAGCCGGGCCTAGGCAGCTTGGGGTCAGTCGCCAGCCCGCGCCCGTCACACCTGCGCCCGCTCACCTGGGCTCTCCTGCACCGCGGCGGAGCCTGGATCTAGAGTCCCAGGCAGAGAGCGCGGGGGTCGCAGCCCTCCGCCTCCAGCCTCAGTCGCCGCGGGCAGCGCGCGCTCCGGCGTCCCTTGCCTGCCCAGGGTCGCTATGGCAACGTGGAGCCCCGGCCAAGCCGGCCCGCAGTGCCCGCCCCTTCCTGCGGAGGCTGTGCGCTCGCGGGGCCGCGCGTGGGGAAGGCTGCACATCCTCCCGTGACACGGAAGGACGTCTTCGGGCCTGTGGAGGTCGAGTGCCGGCTGGTGCACCGGTCTGGTGGCCAAAGGCTGGTGGTGGGCGAGCCGGAGAGACCAGATACCCAGGGAGCGTGGGCCACGGTGTGCCCAGGAAGGTTATTGCCTTCCCCACCCCAGCTCCTCTCCCGTCCCGGGTTCCTCAGGGCAAATACAGCCCCCAAAGCAGGCAAGAAAGGGTTAAAGGCTTTTCTGCCAAGTCACAAAGACAAAAGGGCAAAATTTGAAGGGAAAACCAACATTACACCTGTTCTTTGTTTTGTGAGGATCTACTAGACTCATTTGAGACTCTGAGGGAAGCTGTATGGCCCCTCCGCCCCGGAAGATGCATATGCTTTACATATACAACATAAATACCAGTTGGGGCAAGTCACTCCTGAGCTGGCTTTCCTACAGTGGCTCCCTTGTCACTCAGAATAAGAACGACTTGCCTACAGTGGCCTTCAAAGCCCTGTGTCATCTGTCCAGCTCCCTCCCCTTTCCTTTCTGAGCTTGTCCCCTGCCCAGTCCCACTCTGCTCTAGCCACAGGCTTGCTTCCTTGCTGTTCCTGAAAAATGCGGGCCAGGGTCCCGCTTCAGGGTCTTTGCCTCTTCTGTGTGCTCTGCTAGGACATCTCCAGACAGCACCTAGGTCCCTCCGTGCTGTATGGGGCTTTATTCAAACATCATCTCAGTAAGGAGTTTCCAGACCGCCCTATTTACAACTGGAATCTCCATCTATACTTCCCACCCTGTTTTCCTCTTTCCCATCCTCATTCCTGTTTCATGTTCTTTTCAGCACTTAGCACCACTGTATACACACACACACACATTATTTATTGTCTGTCTCTTTGGAAGCAAAAATTTCTTTTCTTCCGACTTCTAAGGGGAAAATTTCAAAAACATAACACAGAATAGCATAACTAATAGTACAATGAATATCTGTTACAACTTCTGCCCATACTGGACAGTGATCGGCATGTTGAAACTGAGTCCCTCTAAAACCGAGTTCCTCTGGTACTGTGTTTATGATTGACTTCTCTATCTCAAACTTTATTCCCTTCCTTGTCCTGCCCCTGTTCCCCTCCGGACTGAGGAGTATCAAGAAAGGGGGGATTGATACCAAGCAGGACCTTATGGTGGGGTGGGGGGCCTACATGGGTACAAAAACACCTCTGAATTCCCCCACTGATTCTCATTTGTAGATAAAAGGCTGTAGTCTCCTAGGCCTCAAGCCAGTTAAGTATTAAACAAGAGTCATGGGACTCCCAGTTCCTCCTGAAGGGTTACAGAGAACAATCTGATGCATATCTTTGAGTTGTTCTGCAAAAGCTAAGACCCCCAACCCAGGTGGAGGATGCTGACCACATGCTGACCACAATCACGTAGACCTCAGACTGTTGGAACCGGAAGGCTGATGATTGAGATTCCCGAAACATCACCCTGTTACCGCCATAAGCTGAACACGCATCCTAGAACCCTCTTCCCTAACACTGTCTTTAAAACCTGAAAATCATCAGAGAGCTCGCTGGGGTCTTTTGAACAAGAGCTGCCTGTTCTCTTTGCTTGGCATCCTGCAAATAAACCCTTATTTTGCTGCAAACCCTCAGTGCTAGAGCTTGGCTCTCTGCACCTCGGTTACGCAAGTCTGTGCTTGGTAACAATATTTGAAGTCAAAGAAATTTTGATTTTTTTTCACTGCGGTCTCCCTAGGACCTAGAAGAAATGCCTGGCACCTAGTAGTTGCTTCATAATTTGTCAAATGAATGAATGAGTGATGTGCTTTCAGGGACTCCTGCTCTGGGAGTCCTTAGTCCTCAGGTTGGAGATTCCTGCTGGAAAGGAAGCAGGAGCCTCAGGCCCCATTGTGGAGGCAGTATCCTGCCCAGGAGTGTGCTTGCCCCAGCTGCTCGCCAAGCCGTGTGCCCATGGGGCTGTGTCCTCTTGGAGGGGTTTTTTCTGATTTGCACAGAGGTACAGTATGGACTACAGGCAGCCTTCCTTGGGTGGAGGCTTCCTCCTGCTGCACAGAAGCACTTCTGTCTTGCTACCAACTGTGTTCTCTGTGCTGTTGATACCAGGCTGTACCCCCAATATCTGGCACAGTCCCGGCACACAACCTGCACTTAGTACGTCTCTGTAGGATAGAAGGATAACAGATGTGCTGGTCATTGACCAGTTTGTCCTCAGATCCATTCCTCACCCTAGCCTTGCTCTGCTCTGCTGGGGAGGGGAACCCTCTCCTGCGAGCTGCTGCATTTCTCAGACCTCTGGTCAGTTCACTTCCAGCACCTTCAGCCCACGGGAGACAATGGCAAGGAGCCTGAGTGGTAGGCAGGAGGGAGGGAGAAGCTGGGGTATTTCTTCCTCTCTCTCTCCACCTTGGGTTGTGTCTCTGGCAGACAGTGCATGGGGCGGCCTCTCCTGCCTACAGGTCTGGCCCGGGAGCTCTGGACCCCTCCCTCATCCCTCCAGTCCTGGATGTGGGAGTGGCGTCCTCAGTTGCTCATATTGAACTGTCTGCTTTCTTCCTAGTGTCCATTCAGCGCGTCCAATGCCTTTGTAACGAACCCCTCCCCACCGTTAAATTCCCTTTGTCGACCTGTCTGGCACAAAGTTTGGTTTTCTATCTAGATTCCGATAGAGGACTGTGGTCAGGTGACCAGTCATACCCAAAATAGGTGACTTGCTGACCAGTTGGTGGAGGTGACCTGAGACCGGGTAGAGCAGTCACTGCTGGTGCCCACCTTGGTCTTTTCAGATCCCCTTCCCAGTTCTGTGTGTCCATCCCTGTTGCATCTTTCAGCTCTGGCTCTTCCGAGGACTGTCCCTGAGCTACTGAGCCACTTCTCTGTTCGGGCCGAGAGCTGAAATGCCAGGGCATCGACGCCCCTCCAGGGTGGCCCATATATTAGGATGACACAAGAGTGGGAAGGCTCTGACCTCAAACCGAACCAACCCAGGTGTGATTTTTCTTCTTTATTTTTCTGTGTGATTCTTCTGCTTATTGTGGCAATACACACATAACATAAAAGTTACCATTTTAATCATTTTCCAGTGTACAGTAAGTACATTCGCAATACTGTACAATCATCACCGCCATCCATTTCCAGAAATTTTTCATCATCCCAAACTGAAATTCTGTGCCCATTAAACAATAGCTCCCCACTGCCCCCTTCTCTCGCCCCTGGTAACTTCAGTTCTACTTTCTGTCTAGGAATCTGCCTATTTTGGGCACCTCCTCTAAGTGGTTCATAGGATATTTGTTGATGTATAATCTTTGTTCTAGAGCTCCCTGTGGGATCTGGCTGCGCTCACTTGACGTCTTTCTTATCCTTTTCCCCCGGTCTATTAACCAGTTTCTCCTGGGAGCATTTCCTTAATAAATCATATAAATGTTATATATACATTTTTGAGTTCTCAATATATATCACCAAATTGCCCTCCAAAAAAATTGTATCAGTTCCATACATCGGGTAGAAGAGTGTCTGTTTTTTCCCCCTTTGCTGACGTTGAGTATTACTGTTTTTAAAGCTCTTCACCAATCTCATAGGGGAAAAAAAAATCTTGATGGCTTTTCTTTGATTACCCGTGGGCTCCTGTACAGGCTTTGCTCTTTACTCCCATTGGAATGGGAATTTTGCTCTGATTTCTACGTGTATCACATCAATTATAGTTAATTTGTTGGGTGTCTCTGTCACATTAGGAGGTAATTGACATAGAGCATATCTTCTTGCCGTATCCAAGGTTTCTTCTGGTTGCAAGTAGAGACACCATCTCACACTATCCAATAAAGGAAATTTATTAATGATACAAGAGTGTTGGAAAGCTGTCAACAGCAAAGCCATTTTCTCTCTCTCTCTCTCCCCATGTCTCCTTCATTTTTCTCATCCTGCCAATCAGTTTTCTCATGCTCATCGTTCCACCGTGGTTCCCATTACTGACAGAAATTGACTGGCTCTCTCCAGATTCCAATCCCAAACTCATGATTGGACCAGTGAGGGTCCAGAGTCTGCCCTGGGCCAGTCGTGCCGCAGATTCCGTGGTTCTCCTTCAAGACATTCTCCTCTCCTCCTGGCCAGCTGTCCCTGGAGGTTCTATCCTGGCACAAACTGTCCCTTTGCTGTGGCTTTGTCCAGAGCTGCCTTGCCACCCGCTGAGTGGCGCCTCATGATCTAGCTTTCTCTCTCCCTAGGCCAGGCTAAGACACAGCCTCAGGCCTCAGGCCCACCCCTGCAGGAAGCTTTTTCACAACCCCTAATCAGACCCTAGCTTGGAGAAAGCAAGGACTGTCTCCTAGAGAAGAATCTGGAGCAGGTTAAGGCTTATCTGCCTCTGCAGGTCAGCTGCATGGGCAGGTTAGAAATCTATGAGATTATTCTCCTTATGGAAAATAGGTGCTATGGTCTGGCTACTCCTTAATACTGAAGGAACATCAAGATTGAGGGCTCCTGTCCTGTACACCCTTCTGATAATTACTTGCCAGATTTGAATGGCTATACTTCAGCTGGGCACCTCTCAAGACCTTGTTAACAGCTTGGGGTGAAGGAAATTTTCCTGTGTAGTCTAGGGTGAGAGAGACTCCTCCACAGGCCCACAGCTACATTCCCTTGCGGAGGCATACACTTTCCTAGGCAGAGAGCTTTGGCTGGAAGTCTGGATGCTCCACCCTGGTAAGAAATCTCAAGGTTTTGTCCAGTGCTTACTAAGTTGTCAACTCCAGGGACTGCCGTTTTCACTGGAGTCCACTCCTGAGAGCACCAACTAAATAATATGAGAATGGGGCCTTCTGGAGCTGAGCAGTCTGGGTCTCAGCCTTCCCAGAAGTGGCAAGAAAGACCCATCTGGAGACAACCCAAATGTCCATCAAAGGATGAATGAATAAACAAAATGCCATCTATCCATGTGATGGAATATTATTTGCCCATAAAAAGGAATAAAGTACTGATTCACACCATGACATGGATGAACCTTGAAAACATTATACTAAGTGAAAGAAACTAGAAGCAAAAAGGCACACCTTGTTTGTTTCCATTCATATGAAATGTCCAGGATAGGCAAAAAGTGGATTAGTGACTACTTGGGGAGTTGGGGGACAGGGAGATAGGAGGGTGATAGTTAAAGGGCAGGGTTGTTTGTTTCGCAGTGATGAAAATATTCTAAAGCTGACTGTGACGATGGATGCATAACTCTGTGAATATATTAAGAACCATCAAGCTGTACACTTTAAACGGGTGAACTGCGTGGTAAGTGAATTCTCTCTCAATAAAGCTGTTTTGAAAAGTCGCTGATGCAGAATGAGCGCCCTCTAGGGGCTCTCAGATGTCTAGAGAGAGTCACAGTCACTTGGATATTTCCCGAGATTTCTGCTAAATTAAAAATTAGAGAAATGCTTAATGAGGGTAACACAAAGTGCAGCAAATGTTATCTAACTTCTTACTGAAGTAAAAAATACATACAGAAAAGAGGAAATATCATCAGTGTATAGCTTGATAGATTTTTGCAAACTGAGCACACCCTTCTTCTCAAGACTGACTCTGGGACTGTTTCTCTTGGGAACAATGCCAAAAATCTAAATTTGAGTCCTTTCATATATATGTGATCCACCCCCCCATTTTTTTTTACTTTTAGGATTTTATTGTACCTTTGAGAAATGATACAACATCTGGTTTTTAAAGACAATACATGGCTGCACTTAAATTCCCATAAAAATAGCATTTTAACAACCACATTGAAATTTAATCCTTTTAAACATGCTTAAAAATGTATTACAAGAAAGACTAAACATTGGGTTTAACAAAAACAATACTTTTTATTTAATTTTTTTGTCTATTTGGTTTTGTTTGAGGGGAGAGGTAATTAGGTTTATTTCTTTCTTTATTTTAGAGGAGGTACTAGGGGTTGAACTCAGGACCTCACGCATCCTAAGCATGCTCTCTACCACTTGAGCTATACTCTCCCTCAAAAAGCAATGTTTTTGAAAACAGAACAATGAAAAGTTTTTTCAAATTTTTTTACAAATGGTCACTTCTGGGTCAATTACCACACTAGAGGAACAGAATTGTTAAAATACAGCTGTGCTCAGCAGAGCCACTTATCTGCTCTACAGTAGTACTGGAAATCAATCCTAAGGTCAAGATTAAAACCATTTTAAGAGACAAGACTCTCAGTGTTTTACAGCCCCCTCAGTAACAGGTATTTTCCTTCCCCAAACAGTACAAGGCTACTTCTGGGTGACTCTGTGGGGACCGGACCCTCTTTCCCCCTTCTTTCTCTCCTTTCTTAATCTTCAGGATTAGGTTATGCCATCAATGACTTGGCTGTTGGTTAAATTTCTATTGAAATTTAAGTTAAATAAAAATAAATATTCAATTCCTCACTTGCACTAGCCACACTCCAAGTGTTCAGTAAGCACATTGGCAGCTGGCTGTCCTAGGGCACAGTGAAGATAGGGAACGTTTCCATGACCCTAGAAAGTTCTGCCAGACAGTGCTGCTTTCAGAGATGAGCTCTGATCTCTTGTTCTATCCCTCCCTTGGAAAGCTTACTTTTACTGTCCACAGCTCCCCACCCCTCTTTTTTTTTTTAAACTGGTCAGCAAAATGCTTTGTCAGAACCTAACATAATGTCTGCACGAAACAGCCAGTGGCAATTACAGTGTTTGAAAATAGTTGTTAGGCAAAGAAATATAGCTAATAAATCATCCCAAGGAAAAATGCACAACCTCACTGGCAATTAAAGAAATGAAAGTTAAAATAACCCTGCCATACTATTACATACTGTCTAGACTAGAAAAATGTGTAAAAATGATGGACTGTGATACTGGCAACACTGTGAGGAAACAGGAACCATTACCTATCGCTAGTCATCTTGGCAATTAGGTAAATCCTCCCGAAGAACCATCTAGAATTATGTTACAGAAGCTATCAAACTATTTTCTGACTAATTCCACTTAAAGACTACTATTTAATAGATAGCTGGTACAAGGCATAGTACTTGGTACTTACTTTGAAAAAAATGTACATGTGTTTTCACAACACTCCTATGATGGAGGTGGGTATCCTTATCTTCATTTTAAATATCAGCAAACTCTTAGGTTCACGAAAGTTAAGATACCCAGAGTAAAAGAGCCCGTGGCGGAGCCAGGGTTCAATCTCAGACCTCTGGACCTAGAAAGAGCTGCCCAGAATACTGCATTGCCTCCCACCTCAGAGAACTGCCTCCAAGAAAATGATACAACTGGGGCAGGGAAAGAAATTTACGCAAAAATATACATATCAGTGAAATTATGACAATTATTACAAAGGAAAAATTGGAAAATGCGCACAGGAGACAATCAATGTAAATGGGCCCAGCACACAATAGGCTCTCCATAAATGCGTAATTAAAAAAAAGTTTTGCCGCCGGTATAGCTCAACTGGCAGAGCACAAGCTTAGCATGCATGAGGTCCTGGGTTCACTCCCCAGTACCTCCTCTAAAATGAAATAAACCTAATTAACTTCCCCCACTGCCAAAATAAAATGATTAAATAATACAATCATAAGTAAATAAATGTTAGAAAAATTTTACGTATAGTTGATTTACAATGTTGTGTTGTAGAATCTAAAAAAAAAGACAAAGGAACTTATTTACAAAACAGAAACAGACTCGCAGACGTAGAAAACAAACCTATGTTGGGGGTGGGGCAGGAAGGGGGTGGGAGGGATAAGCTGAGTTTGAGATTTGCAAATACTAATATATAAAAACTAGATAAACAACAAGTTTATATTGTATAGCACAGGGAACTGTACTCAGTATCTTGTAGTAACTTATGGTGAAAGAGAATATGAAAAACGAATATACGTATGTTCCTATATGACAGAAATATTGTGCTGTACACCAGAAATCGACACCTTGTAAAATGACTATACTTCAATAAAAATATATTTAAAAAAATACAATGTTGTGTTAGTTTCAAGTGTATAGCAATGTGACTCAGATGTATATATGTTCTTTTTCAGGTTATTCTCCATTATAGGTTATTAAAAGGTACTGAATGTATTTCCCTGTGCTACTCAGTAGGTCTTACTGTTTATCTGTTTTATGTATAATAGTGTGCATATGTTAATCCCAAACTCCTAATTTATTCCCCCCTCCTCCCCAAAGTGCCTAATTTAAAAAAAAGCAATTCGGTGAAAACGGGCTCTGGCACTTTAAAAGTCAGAGGCGGGTAAAACGGAGAAAAAGGAGGCGGGTTAAGAAGCTGACGTGAGAAGCCTCTTGCCTTATTTAAATAAGCATGCGTAAAGGCTCGCCCTCTATCCTCCGCCACGTTCCTGCACTCAGTGCGCGTGCGCTACCGGAACCCGGAGGCGGCTCTGGGCTCCGCCCGTCTATTTAGGTGGGTGGAGACAGTCGCGTGAGTTCGGTGGACCTACATTCTCCCGCTCAATTAACCAGCCCCCTCCCTCTCCGCTTCCTCTTGCACATGCGCGTACGTCAGCACTCGACAGGTCGGCGAATGGCTCCAGGAGTTGCGCCCGCGCTGTGGACGCCTCTACCGGAAGTGGGCGGGATTGTGTTCCAAAGCCAGAGGGCGGAGGGAGACAGCGCGGCAAAGGCGAGTGTGGCTGAATGGAAAGCTCAATTTGGGGACTGTCGAAAAGGCCCTGCTGCAGAATTACTGAGCCTAGAAATGTAGAGGCCAGAATATGATCAAAAGGAGCTTGATTTTTGATTTTAGAAAAATTTTACAATATTATTCTTGTTTACAGGTGTGTTAAATAAAAGTTTTAGGGAGAAAGGATTTTCCCTAAGTTTTATTTTTCCCCATGAATTTTTTTTTTTTACATTTTTATTGATTCATAATCATTTTACAGTGTTGTGTCAAATTCCAGTGTTCAGTACAATTTTTCAGTCATACATGGACATATACACACCCATGAATTCTTATGTTTCTAAAAGACTTCAGGGCGCCATAAAGACACATTTTGGTGCCTCGTATGTGCCAAGGTTGAAAACAAGTATTACCAAAAAAAAATATATGCACATATATATATATAGCACACGTTCTCTCCTGCTTAAAGGTAGATCCTAGTCAGGAATCCTACTCAGGAAATCATTAGAAAGAAATGTTGAATACGAGCCAGAAAAGAAACATAGAGGTGATTTTGCGTCATAAAAGTTATAAATGTTTTGGAAGTCCCTGTGTCAGTTCAACTTAATTCCATAAACATTTTGTGGAAAACATTATCTTTTTTATATGTACACTGTGTTGGATACTGGAGATTCAAAGATGAATGTAATTTAGCCCCAGTCCTTGAAGAGTTCACACTCAGAGGGAAAGGACGGCGGGGTTTATGTATAGGAATAGCCGGGCAAGGTCTTGGAGGTAGACTTGATAGTGGAAATTGACTCTAGAGACTGCCTTGACTAAAACGGAAGGATGACATCAAAAACAGTGGGAGATCGTGCCCTGTGAACAGGGTGGGGTAGACTGGGAGTGAGGAGGTCTAGCTGCTAAGCTGAGGAAAGTTGGATCTAGGTCCAGTGGCCACAAGTCATTGTGTTTTTATGAGCTTGGCTGCTGGCAGGGAATGAGGCGGAAGGTGACTTTTTGACCACAGTGATTGGTTGAACGGGGAGATGTTGGGAAAACTACCTAAGAAAGTCAAGCTGGCAGGCAGCAAAACCTCTGAAAATGCCAAGTTATAAATCCTTCTTAAGGATGTAAACAATGGGGAGTAAAGGAAAGGTGGTTCTTGGGTAGCCTTAGGAAGTTGCTCAGACACTTAGGGGGCTGGGAGAAGAGCTTTTCTCTTTTGGGTAGCCCCCTTGTCCATAAGCTGTTTTTTCCTTGAGAGATAGCATCTTAGAAGGGTCCTAAGCCAAGAATGGACCTGTTGTAAAAAGAATAAACTGTTTCATAGGTACCTCATAAAGAACACAGAAACAAATGAAAATGCAAACAAGGAAACCTTTATGTGGACACAAAAGACAGCAGTTAGTACAGTCCTCCCCACAGGGGAGTTACAGGGCCTCATGCTCAGAAGAACCTTGTGCATGGTGTTTTGCTGGCACCCTTTTGAAATTCTTTTTTTAAATAAAGGACCCCACATTTTCATGTTGCACCAGGCCTCACAAATTAAGTAGTCGGTCCTGCCTCCCCCTTCCAACTTTTCTCTGTTTTTTTTTTTCTCTCTTTCCTGTGCCTACTCTTCTTTTCCTCTCTTCTCTCCTCTTCTGTTTTTCCCTCTTTGCTTCCTATTTTCCTTCCTGGGCTCCTCCCCCCTCCCTTAAGGCTGAGTTTAAGTATGCTGTGGCCTTGTAAGCCTGAAAACATGTTCTTGTTATGTTTGAGTTCCCCCAAAAGAGGTTGAAATCCTAACCTGACCCCCCCCCGTACCCCCCACCTCGTGACTGTGACTGCGCCCTTATTTGGAAACGGTCTTTGCAGATGATCAAGTTAAGATGAGGTCATTAGGGTGGGTCCTGATCCAAAACGACTGCTGTCCTTAGGAGAAGGGGACATCTGGAGACAGAGGCACAGGAGACAGCCAAGTGAGATTGGAGTGACTTGTCCACAAGCCAAGGAACACCAGGGATGGCAGGCAAAGCAGCAGAAGCTAAGAGAGAGGCATGGGACTTGGTCTTCCTCAGAACTTCTGTAAGGAACCACCCCTACTGCCACTTGGATTTCAGATTTCTGGCCTCCAGAACTGTGAGACAATAAACTTCTGTCGTCTAAGTCACGCAGTGTTTGGTACTTTGTTACGACAGTCCTAGCAAAAGAATACAGTTCCCAGGAGGTCCTTAATACTTAATAAATACTGAGTAAATGGATGGCTGAATGAAGGCCAACTTTATCATCTCTGGCTCTTCAAAAGATAACAGAAGAGCTATCAAGATAATAACTTTGTCCAGCCTTTCAAGTCTGGTGAATGAAAACATTCCCTTTCCCCAACCTACTTCATTTCCTCCAGTGACATTTTCCGTGTAACTGATTGATGCCCACTTTGTCCTGTGCCTCAGATATGCCCCGAGCCCTGATAACAGAGGAAGGTGGAGTGGCTGGCTCTGGTGCCCTGTGGTGGACTCCACTGGTTGCTGCTGAAATTCAGCACCTCTCTGGCCCACCCCCTCCTCCTTGATGGCAGATCTCCAAGTATGTTAGCTTCCCTTTTGTCGAGGGAAAGTGAACCCCTTGCTCCAGGGCCAGGGGGCAAATTATAATTGGGCAAACCTTTTCGATAAAGATAGTAAGTATTTTTTTGGCTTTGCAGGCCAAATATTCCGTTTCAGATACATTTCATATGTATGTATGTGAACTTCTGAAATGTTGAGTGAACTTGAGATTATATTGCAAGTAATATGGATCTCATCCACTGCTCAAAATGTTAGGCCCTGTTTTAGTTCGTTCAGGCTATAACGAAACATATACCACAGGCTAGGTGGCTTATAATAACAAACGTACTTCTCACAGTTCTGGAGGCTGGAAGTCCAAGATCAGTGTGCCGGCACGGCCGGGTAAGGGCCCTCTTCCAGGTGGTAGACTTCTGTCCTCACATGGCAGAAGGGACTACGGAGCCCTTTGGGGTCTCTTTTATAGGAGCACTGATCCTATGCGCCAGGGCTCTGCCATCATAACATATTCACCTCCCAAAGACCCCACCTCCTAACACTGTCACATGGGGCATTAGGATTCCAACATGTGAACTTGGGTTGGGGGGCAAACATTCAGAACAGAACAGACCCTAAATATAAATCAACAATAAGAAAACCTCACGATCCTGGGTACCATTCCAAAGAAGGGTTCTGTATGACAGATCCAGTCCTATAGCCCAGATGGTGTCAATTAGCTTTTGCAGTAGAAGAAGCAGCAGTCTATTGTAGGGGACAGACAGCCATACATATTCCTTCAGCTCACTCCATTGTGGGTTGACTGATGTGGGCTGGCCTTTGCTGGGACAGCTCTGTACCAGGTGTCTCTCGTCCTCCCTGTGGGATCAGCGTGTAACTCAGGAATAGCCTCCTCACTGCAATGGCAGGTGTGCAAGAGTGCAAGTCTGTTCATTCAGGTGCTTTTTGAATCTTTGGAAGCGTTGATCAAAACGGGCCTCACGGCCAAAACCCAAATGAGGAAGTCGGACGGACACTTGCCTGGGGAGTATTCAGTGCTCTGTTGATCTGGTTACAGTGAGTCCTTTACAACAAAGTTTTCTATACAACAAGATACAATCTGAGGTTCCTGTGTTAAGGTGTGATGAAAAGAAATAAGCAGAGCTGCACGTCCCTGCCCCGGAATGTACTGGACACTCTGGATAGCTGATAACGCTGAATCTCAGTCTTCTCATCTCTAAAATACACAATAAGAGCATTTACCTCTCAGGACTGTTATGAGGATTAAATGAAATACTGTTTGTGAAAATGTACTGTGAACAACAGCGAGTCCCCTGGTAGGTGTGTGGAAGTTGTATAAATGGTGATGTTTGCACTGTTGTCAAACAGAGCAGAGAACTAAGAGGTGCTGAGCAGTTGGTCAATTCTTTAAAGTGTTCTTTTCTGGCAAGTGGTGCTTATCTTCCCGTTTCAAACAGCGCAGAAGCAGTTTTCATGAAAACCCCCTTCGATTTTTTTTAAGTCACCAACCATACATATGAAATACATTTTTAAAGATATTTTGAAAACAGGAGGGTCAAACTCTTTTAGGGAGTGTGAACCACGTTGGGAGCCAGTTAGTTGTGATCTGGTAAAGCTGAACATGGGAATAACCCTGCATCTGGTGAGTAACCCCTGGTCATGTACCAGGATAAATGTACAGGAATACCCTTTGCAGCACTATTCTTCCAACCCGAGGCAGGAAATGGCTGACTGTTCCTCGGTGATAGTAGAGGTAAATCCTTTGTGTACTTTCTATTCAGCAGAACATCACAGCAGTGAAAACCAACAGATGACAGTCCATGCAGTACAGATGAGTCTTAAAAACCTAATACAGAGCACAAGAAGACAGGCGTAAAAAACAAACTAGAAACAAGCAAGCAAACAAAGTGTAATTTCACTTCTGAAAGTTCCAAACTAGAAAAAACAGATCTATGTTTTGTAGAGATGCAAAGGTAAGTGGTCAAACTATAGGAAGGGCAAAGAAATCACCATAAAAATTCAAACGGTGGTTACCTCTGCGGGAAAGGAAGAGGACTGCGATTGGGAATCAGCACACGCAAAGCTTCTGGGGGCCGGCGATGTGCTCTTCCTTGACCTGGGTGGCGGTTACATAGGTGTTCACCTCCTAATTCTTTGTTAAATTGTACATAATTTTTTTTCTCTTTTCTGTATGTGTATTTCACAAATAAAAGTTTTCTTTCCTTCCTTCCTCCTTTCCTCTCTTCTTTTAAAAATTTCCCAAGATAAAAAGTAGGAAAAAATTAAGTGGACATGTAGCATGATGCTTTTGTCTTTTTCATTCTCTATTCAAGACCTCTTTTCACTTGTTAGTGGCACTAACGGTGGGTGCGAGGGTTGCGGGGGTGGGGGCCGGCATCAGCCTCTGATTCCTTCAACTGAGAAATGAGATTTAGAGCTTTACTTAATCATAACAAAATTCTTCTAGGCAGAAATAATTGGGAAGTCTTGTGTTATTAATTGGATATGGCTTTCCCTTTGAAGGTCTTAGATCTCTTTTGTGTGATGTAATGTTTAACACTGTGTACACCGCCTGCGAACGGGAGCCCGGTCTCACATTGCTCATAATTGTAACCCCACTGCCTGGCGTGGTGCTTGACACAAAGGAAGTGTTCAAAATATATA